CTCTGGTTTAGGAGAAGATGGTAGAACATCATGTTTAAAAAACACCGTTGCTGCTACAGCGGTTTCAGTTCTACTGTGGACAGGGCCTAAATACTAAGGAGTCAGCAAAGGTAACAGTTCTTAGGATTACAAAAAAAGGTCTGTTCTTAACTTGGGTTAGCTAACCTGCGTGAGCTCATGGGTTACAATAGCAGTGAAGACATAGCAACTGAGCTTGTACCTCAGGTTAGCAGCGTGCGCTAAAGCCCACAGGGCTTACAGTCAGTCTTAATAAAACTCAGCTGCCGCTAACTCCGAGGTAGTTTCTATAAAGTAGTGACCACCTTCTCATTGGGCTGCCATCACTTGGCCATCTTATGTTTATCTAGTCCAGCCCTATCACCTCAGTCCTATTTCATACTTTTCATTACACTTACAGTTCCTCAGCCCCTCCTTTTAAACCACCACTCCAGCAACAACTAACACAGTCACAGGATGGCACCTGCATGTCTTCAGGGGTTCATACAGCTGTTGGAGACAATCTCTTCTAATGGTGAAAACCTCTCTTTGGTTTCGGTTGCCTCTTCTCCCAGAAAATCCAGAGGGAGCAGAGATGGTCTGAACCAAAATTGTGGATCAGAGCACCCTTCAACTTTGTGTACATTACGAATCTGGATCCCAGTCCAAAAGTGCCTGTGAGGATATGTGAGCTGTTTCTTTAAGAGCCCAGTTCAACAAATTGCTTAAGAACATGCGTAACTTCAACCACCTACCTAGTCCTGTTAAAGTTACCTGTGTTTAATACCTTGCTGACTCTGAGCCAGAAGGGAGAAGGAGAGAGGGACGGTGTAGCTTTAGAGCTTATACTGTTCTGAATAACATCCCCTGTTCAGTGTTAGAAGACAGCAACTTTCTGGGATTCTTTACCGTTGTCACCAGACAATGCTGGGCATGTATTTCTATAACAGGCCTAATCACAACCGAGATCTGAGTTCTCCCCATTCGCTGCATTCTAAATCCACATCCAGACATTGTGGCCTATGCCCATCTCTGAAATGGAGAAGTAAGTACCATTCTAGCGCCTCATTTTAGAAAACCTTCACCTCTTATTTGTTCCCAGGAGTGACAGAAACGTACCTTGACCAGCGTGGACAGGGATTTTTATAAGCAGGGATATGGGTGGGGCAACAGGGGAAGAGGACAAGCGGGAGTGGAGCCTCGGGGCGGAGCACGAGTGGGGTTATGACCCAGGTGCCCTTTCGGCGGTGGCGGTGCTCCAAAGACGGCAGGCCACCTCCAGAGGGAGGTGCACTGAATCCTGTTTGGGGAGGCTTAGCCTCCCCTGGCCTCTTATATCTGCCACCCATAAATAAAACCACATGGATGAAATCCTGGACCCACTGAAACTAATGGAAGAACAGGAGGACT